TTACTGTGTTAATTATACTGCAGTAGGCTTAGGCCTAAGAAAGATAACAATCTATTTTTAAGGAATAATGAACTGAGGATGTGGTTGGCATTTCATTTGGAGCAAAATTGCCAGGAATGAGACAGAGGGGCTAGGTTTATAAAGAGACATGAAGTTATTTAGGACCAATCTCGACTACCATCCCGCACAGGAAAGAAGGAAAAGTCTACATTTTTAATCACAATGTTTATTCTCCACTTGTATGTACAAAAAAATGCTTGGATATACACACAGTGAAAGTGAAGTATCAACATTAAACAAAGCATCATGTCAATAAGCATTTCTTTCAAGAAAAGCAGGCAGTTCTTTTTTCTATTTCAAAAAAGATAAAAAAAATAAAAACAGCAAGAAGCCTTGGTTTGTGGTGTAGACGAGATAATTATGAATACAAAGTACCATTTGTTCTCCTTTGGGCATTTCATTGCATATTGAGGCAACAATTTCAGCACAATCATCAGGATTTAAACTCATTGACTTCAGGGCTTCTGCAAGATAAGGTTTAACAACGGCAGCACTCTTTTCTAGGACTCTCTCCCCCAATTTTGATGAAACAGGAGAAGCAATCTGGATAAAAGAAAATATTGGGTTAAAAAAAGTTCTGAAGAAATATTTTAAACAAAAAGGTTCATGGGAAAAGATTTATTGCCTGATTTCCCTTTTTGACACTATCAAGAATTGGCCGTAGAAGCTCTACTGAGAGTTCATCACTATCTTCTATGAGCTGAGTCATGATTTCTTCCATCTTAGTGAATACATTATGAGGATGGTAAGGCCTTGATAGAAAATATAACATAAATCTTATCTTAGTAAGCAACCATCAGAGAAATATTATCTCCAGAATAACCTTACGCTCATATGGTATGATTAACAATGTCAACGGTCTCCTACATGCTTAGTGCGAATGGGGTATATGCAAGATACTGAATAGCAGTTGAGCAGCGTTTCAAGGTATAAGTGTATTTCAGCTTACCACCTTTTTGAGCTAGTTAGTGCCAAATTACTACTTGGCTTATTATATATAGACAAGAAAAACCACAATCATGACAGTAAATTGAGAAGGATCAATCGATATATGTTCCATCTTAATGGATAAGCAGTTAAAAATTCAAAGCACATTGCAAAATCCTAATGAAATTTATAGTTCACGCAAACTTAATCTGAAGTTGGTTGACTTCATGCCAGAAAGAAATGAATGAGCTCTGAGTAACATTGAAGAATGAGAGAACGGCTGAAAGCAATGGTGATAATAATAGCCATGAGAAAGAGAATTTTGACAGAATACCTGATAATCCCGAGGAAAAGTTTGAATATCTCAATAACTAAGGTGTCGCATTCAAAGTCCAACAACATCACAAAGGCCCTTACTTTAGCAACAGTTTCAAGAATTTGGACCACCTTATAGTAACTGCAGCCGGAAACATCTGATAACTTTTTCAATGCCATTATAGTATGCTGAAGAATTTCCTGAGATGTGTGAATACATGCATGTGAAAAGAAAATGTAAATGGCTGTAGAAGTTTGAGACAAAGAAATTGATCAGGTATAAAAAGAACATATTGTCAAAAATAGAGGACAAACTAGAATGGTATATTTATACCTCCATTTGTTTACCATCATCATAAGGGTGATGTGGGGCAGTTATTCTGAAAAGCTCAGTGATACAACAGACAACTAAAACTTTGACATCTTCGTTGGTATAGCTCAAAAGCTCTTTTAATGCATTCATTACAGGCTGAAGTGCAGTTTTCATCGAATCGGAAGGGCATTGACCTACCATTAACAGTAAGGATTCAACTCTCTGACCCAAAAAAAAAAGGAAAATAGAGGAGTTAGCTTGCAATGCCATAACATATTAAAATATGAGCAAACCAACTTCCAGAAACCAATACACACAATAAGCTGTGAATCAGAGTTGTAATTTATACACAGTAAACCATAAATTGCAAAAGCAATAAATAGATGCACTTCCATTTTTGGTTCCAAAATTATTACACTGAAACTACAATTCCCACTTCCACCTCATTTCTGTTTCAATTGCATCTCATTCAATATTTAAAAGCAGAAAATATCCATTTAGAGGTAAAAGCCATCCAGCTAGATTGTGTAACAGCACCTGAACAAATAACTGAAATTAAACTAAGGCTTCAAAATCTATCAAATTGACAGGCAATACCATTGCCTCTAAAAGTCTTTCCATTAACAAAACAGAACAAAATTGAGAAGCTATCACTCAAACAGCAATATATCACACAGGGAAAAAAATAGGGCAGCCTGGTGCACTCCCGCTATGCGCGAGGTCCGGGTAGGGCCGGACCACAAAGGGTCTGCATCATACGCAGCCTTACCCTGCATTTCTGCAAAACACTATTTCCAAGGCTCGAACCCGACCTATTGGTACCATGACAGCAATTTTACAGTTAGACCAATGCTCCCTTCCCACACAGGGAAAAAATGGCTTTGTATATGTATAGGGGCATAAAAACAAATAAAAATTTGATCTTTACATAGAGAAAGTTGAGGAGGTCGTCAATGGAAGAGGGAGGATTCCTGAGCTTCATCCCATAAGCTATGAGCTTGTCTTCCACCTCTTTCTGGGGAGCAGTACAGGAACAAGAAGCTGCCATTCCCAGCAGCAGTACTCAGTCTCAAGATTCAAGAACCCAAAAGAACACTCCAATGAAATTGAAAATAGTATAGCAAATTGAAAGATTATAACTTCAGTGCTAGTGATGTAAGAAGAGAGTGAAGTGGAAAAATGTCAGGCATGCAAAGGCTAATTTTTACCGGATTCTTTGTTGGTTTTTTGTGGTTTTTGCCTAATTTGGGGTTGAAATCCGTGATTTTTTAACTTCTAATACTAACTTTTTTCCCTGTGCTTGGTTCAATGTAATGGTGTTGGAACTCAACGTGGCAATGCAAATTGGGAGTTTCAACTTTTGCTGTTGAACAGTTGAAGTGAGAGATCACTGAGTCAGAAAGCTAGTACTGTATATTTATGATGAGAGGAATTGACATATTTATCCTTCAGATGTTTTTGGGAACATGAGTATTTGGGTTGTGGGAGTAGGTCTAATATTGGAAAAGTAACCACCATCTCAGTGTACTGGCGCCCCTGATAAATCCTCTTCAAAATTTCTCCTTTGGGCTTTTATTCTTTGTTAGTAAAAAAGTTTAACAGATTTTGGCTATTAATTAAAAAGAATATAGTAACATTACTTTTACAAATCAGAAGCTATTGCCAAAATCTTAATTAAGAGCCCGTTTGGACATAAGAAAAAATTTTATTTTTTTCGAAATCAGCGTTTGATCATAAAATTTTTAATTTTCACTTGAAGATATATTTTGAGATTTTTCAAAAATTTAAAAAACTCCAAAATTTGTTTTTCAATATTTTGACTCAAATAACTCACAAAACTTCAAAACAACTCAAAATTATATTCATGTCCAAATACAACTCTAATTTTCAAATACCATTTTCACTTGAAACTTTTTTTATTTTCTTTTTTTGAAATTTTACATTTCTTATGTCCAAACACCCACTAAATAGATTTCTTTGTTTGAACCGAAAGTCCAGCTTCTCGACCTTGGATGTAGGGTAAGTTTGCGTTCACACTATCTTTCACAAACCACACTTGTAAAGATGTAGGGTATGTTTGCGTTCAAACTACATTTGTGAAATTACATTGAATTTGATATTATTTTGGTATGTATAATTCACGGAAACAACTAACACTCCACTTGATTCAACCCTCTTATTGTAAATCTGTAAGAATTCATCAGTATATTAACGATTAGATATAACAATAAACAAACCTTATCAAATAAATTGAGACGGGCGACATGAATCCTGACTAATAGTGTTTCTTTATTTTAGTACATTGGTAAGCATCTAAAATCATAAAATTAATAATATCCAAAAAATTTATTCTTTTCATGTCGGTATCTTACCTGTTCAAGATTTTAGGCATCTAAATTTGTTCTTTACTGACATGGCAAAAATTTTGTTGGTTAATGACTAATGAGATTTTAAGATCCGCAATTATTTATCGCTAAAGATGCATTATATTTGTTATCGAATGGAGTATGATGATTATAGCTTAGACGAAATAGCCCGTTTGGACTAAGAATTTTTTCCAATATTTTCGAAAAAAATTTATTTTTTTTCGAAATCGACGTTTGTTTATAAAATTTTCAATTTTCACTTGAAGATGTATTTTGGAATTTTTTGAAAATTTGAAAAACTCCAAAAAGCTATTTTTTAAAATTTTCACTTAGATCACTCACAAAACTTCAAAAACAACCCAAAATTATATTTATGTTCAAACACAACTCTAATTTCAAATACCATTTTCACTTGAAAACCTTTTTATTTTTTTTTTGGAATTTTACAATTCTTATGTCCAAACGTCCACTTAAATGTTCTGTCTATTTTGCGGTTATTAGGATGTGCCTTTATTTTTAGTAAAACCCACATTTCAATCCATTTGCCCACTTTCTCATACATAAACCATTTTTTCACATTCATCAATCAAAACAAACAAAAAAATAGAAAAAGAAACCAAAAAAGAAAAACAAAATTTCTCCAGCCCGAAAAGAAACGAAAATAAAAAGGAAAAATCTCTCATTTGAGAAAACCCCACTTTTCCATTAAACACCACCCAACAAAAAGGTGGTCCCCCATTATTATCATTATTATTATAGTAAACCAGTTCCCCAATTTCCAATTTTTGTATTAATCAATAACCACTCCAAATATTTGAGAAAAAACAGATATTTGCAATTTAAAAGGGATTTACTTCGTCGTCTTCTGCATCAGCTTTTGTTTTTGCAGGAAAAAAATGGAAAACAAAACAAAACCAATGAACATTATAAAAATCTCTAATTTTATAATCAGAGATTTGGAGCTGTGAAGGAGGTGGACAGCCGGCCCCACCC